TCTGTGCTTTTTTTCTGAAATCTTATATATAGGGGGCATAGTTTTACGGCATAGTTTTTCACAAAAAAATGAAGATTCTATCATTATAACCTCTTTCCAAAGCTGTATGACTTTTGCGGAACACAAAAGAAAATTTTGAAGAATGTTTCTGCTGTTTTTGTCCATAAAATCAAAGTGGGGTCCAAAAAAAAAAGACACTGACTTTCACTGTATGGACATGCATACACACTCAAATCTTCTTTTATGTTTCGCATAAGAAGTAGTCATTCTTTGGAAAGACATGAGCAAATGAAAATGCTGTCATCATTTCCTCACCCTCAAGTTGTTTCAAACCTGTATGAGTATGGAAAAAATACTATGGAAGTCAATGGCAACCAGTAGCTGGCTGGTTACCAACAATGTTCACAGAATTTTCATTTTTGGGTGAGAGTAGGGAACACATTCACTATTAACTAAGAGTTTTCCCTGAACAAACTTAATTTGCTGCTTATTAATAGTTAGTAAGGCAGTTGTTAAGTTTAGGTATAGGGTGGATTAAGGGATCTAAAATACGGTCATGCACAATAAGGCATTCATATGTGCTTTATAAGTACTAATAAACAGCCAATATGCTAGTAATATGCATGCTAATAAGCAACTAATTAATTGGGTTTTACCCAATTTTGGTATAAACTTAATGCAATTTTCTTTTTTCTTCCCATTACAGTAGAAAGAGGATGGGAAATTATAGGGATAACAGGACCAGGACAACTCATGCATGCATACACACCACGAAATAAATGGGCCAGATTTACTAACAGTTTGCGCCAGTGCAAACCCTCTTCTGCCGTTAATAAACTAGTGTCAGGATTTGCTAAAGCGGTGCTGTACCAAGTGCTGTACCAGGTGCACTACTGAGCAAGTTTACCATGTCAGAAAAGCCATACATATGGAGCTGGTTATAGGCACATTTTTGGAGTTTTCCCAAATATAGACAATTGAGGTGTTGGTTCAAGTCTGACCTGGTCATATCTCGATCCCACTCCCCCATCTCATCCCTACCTTAAATGCTTTGGCTTGAGTCAAACAACTGCATTCAATTTTACTCTGATCTCTATATTAATATTTACCTCAAAATTTTATTATAAAATAAAATCATATTCACTTTAAGAATGACTGGAAGTTTCCCTGGAAAGTGCCTTTATCACTCGCTTGCTCTCACTCTCGCTCGCTCTCTCTCTCTCTCTCTCTCTCTCTTTCTCTCTCTCTCTGCGTCTCTTGGTCTGGTTGAGTAATTAGTTCAGTGTAAGGGTTGTTGGGCTGTTGATGTATCTCTGGCGTAATGTAAGGAGATGGAAAGAGGAAAATTCAAATGAAATGACTCTCACGAGCGTGCGCTGTTTTATATGCTCCCCCTTGAAGTGCAGGACACTAATTAATAGATCTGCCAGTGCTTAATGATCCTTCCAGCACCACAAACTGAGAGATGGAGAGAGAAAATGAGAGGAGAAGTGGAAAGAAATGTAAACGAGGCGGAGAAAGGGTGCAGGAGGGGAGGATGAAAGATGAAAAAAGAAATTCCATCACTATCTAATAGATATAGCTTGACAGTAAATTTATGGGTGGAGAGAAAAAGAAATAAATTTACATTTTATGTTTACCATCATAGCAGATGCTTTCTTACCACAGTGACTTGTATGCACAGTATATACATTAGCAGATCTCTCTCTCTATCTATCTATCTATCTATCTATCTATCGATCGATCGAGAGAGAGAGATTCTTGCTTTGTATGTAAGACTTCTATACATAAAGAGTTTTGATCTTTGATTATCCTCACCTCTACTATTGGAATTATTTGAAAATACAAGTTTCCTAGTGGAAAATTGGACATGAATGTCCTCTTAAATTGTAATTACAACATCACTCACATTGTGTTTTTACTCGTGCCAACTTAAACGTTCCAACATGTAGATTTTAAATAAAGAGTGAACGATTTTACAGAAGCTGAATGTATTTGGGATTCAAAATTCATAAAATTAAGTAGTACACAAAATGCGTAAAATGAACTTTTGTTGGTCACAGAGCACATTTTCTGCAAGAATCCAAAAGCCAATGGGAAAATCCTGCTTTTTGTCGATGCTAATGGGTAGACCTACAAAAATATGTCATCCCTGCAGATTTTATCTTTCCAAATTATACTGCTACTTCTAAATAGTCTAAAGATGCTTTGTGCACATGAGCTGTAGTTACAGAGTCTACCATTAGGGGTTAACGTGTTGAGTTTCTGAAGACAGAAAGTTGCAGAAGTTCACGATACTACTTATGTACGGTGGCCGAGAGGTGCAGAACAAATCACAGTTCTGAAAACAAAATAACAAATTACAAACGCAAATGCAAGTCTACAAAACAAAATAACAATTCAGAAAACACAACGACAATTCAGACAAACCGGAAAAGGTAGGTATAGTTTGAGACAGCGCCATTGGTTTGGGATTACTCACCGCTGACTGGACGAGACATCTGCCAATCAACGTATACAGGAAGAACCAGCCGAAGTTACACGAAGAACACTTTAAAGTTACTTTCACTGGTGTAATTTACTGTAAACAGTTTGTTTTGTTATTAAATAGTAGTCAATCATTTTGATGTTATTACATATTTGAATGACATAATCACACTGCATTTTTTATATACAGTGGGTATAGAAAAGAATCACCCCCCTTTAAAATGCACTGAGTAAACACAGCTGAATAAAAGAAAAACTGTGTCCGTCTTCATTTCAGGCTGCAAAGCAACAAAATGTGATTATTTTAAAGGGGGGGGGGTGATTCTTTTCTATACCCACTGTATATAATTGAGCCCTTATGAATCTTAATCTAATCAGCAGCTACAGAGAAAAGAACAAAATCAAGTCCCAAGTTCATTTCCTGCCCTAGGAGACACAAACACACTCGAACAGAGTTGAGCTCTCCATCATTTCTCTCTCCTTCAGCAGCATTCACACTGTCAGTGGAGGGAAAACAACCTGTCAGTCAATCACACAAGACCACTTAGCATATGCTTCTCTCGCACACCCTCATTTCTAAAAAACAGACAGCTCAAAATTCCCGGCTCTCAATTTGTCTGATCATTTGTGCCACAACAAACCTGACTCACACACACCCAAGGGATGTGGATTGACCCTAAGGTTAATGCCCTGCTCAGTAGCCTTTGACCTTGCCAGCCTCAGCGCTCAGTGGTGAAATGGACAGAGGAATTATGGGGTCTTTCAGACAAGTCTATAGAACTCTGACACTGGCCTTGTATGTGTGCCTGAATGGATGTGGGGGTCATAGCATTTGACTTTTGAGTGACGTCTTTGACTGCCTTTTCTTGTTATCAATTTTTATGCACCACACATTATGCATCTATATGTGCATACAGCTGTACTTTTACATGTTATCTGTTATATGTCAGCATGTCTAGCCATACTGCAGTCATACTGCAAACACAAACCTAGCTTTGACCAGAATGGAGGAAACCAAAGAGATTTATTAAAAACACTGAAGCAGAAATATTCCATTCACGGTTCGGCCAGCCCAGTCGAGTCGCAGATCATTTGCTTTAAACTAAAAATGTTGACGTCGTGTACCCTCCTTTACATCACTCTAAACTTTGGTGACTTTTTTCTTATCGAACGCAAAATTTCATTGTTATCAGACTGTAAAATCTGCTATTTTTCATTTAATGAACATGCAGTATCTGTTCAGTTTAGATGCAATTATACACTACTGGTTAAAAGTTTTCTGAAAAGAAGTTTTTTAAAAGAAGACTCATGCTCACCAAGGCTGCATTTATTTGATCAAAAATACAGGAAAACAGTAATACTGTGAAATATTATTACAAATAACTGTTTTGTATTTTAATATATTTTAAAATGTAATTTATT